AGCAGCAGCAGCAGCAGCAGCAGCAGCAGCAGCAGCAGCAGCAGCAGCAGCAAGTTACCTGAATAGCTGCCTTAAGTCTCATAAGAGAGATTGATGAACCAAAGCGAGATGTAAGAGATGCAACTAAACGACGACACTCCTCTACCTAAGCAGCAGCAGCAGCAGCAGCAGCAGCAGCAGCAGCAGCAGCAGCAAGCAGCAGCAGCAGCATAAATGTGTGGCAGGAAGCAGCAAGCAGAAAGAATAGATAGGAGCAGCAAATTGGACGGATGCAACAAAGCCCAAGCAGCAACAGCAGCTAATCAGCAGCAGCAGCAAACAGTAGCAGCAGCTAACAACAGCAGCAGCAGCAGCAAGTAGCAGCAGCAAGCAGCAGCAGCAGCAGCAGCAGCAGCAGGTAGACCTACCCGACCACATTTTAAGAGGCCAAGACAGCGATTAACACCAATACCCAATGCCTGCAGCACAGCAGCAAATAGCAGCAGCAGGCAGCAATAGCAGCAACAGCAGCAGGAGCAACTGCAGCACCAAACAGCAGCAACAACATCAGCAGCAGCAGGAAATAGTAGCAGCAGCAGCAGCAGCAGCAGCAGACCTGAGGGAAGGTAAGTTTATGTTCAAGGTTGTCTGTTGCTCCCTTTGTTGCACGACGTATTAATACCTCCAAATCCTGCTGCTGCTGCTGCTGCTGCTGCTGCTGCTGCAGCAACTGGTGCTGCTGCTGCTGCTCCCTTTTATGTAGAGCAGCAACGAATGAATTTGTAACAGAAACAGCAACAACACCAACATCTATATCTAGCTGCTGCTGCTGCTGCTGCTGCTGCTCAACAGCAGCAAGAACTTGTTCATATACATCCTCTGCTGCTGCTGTATATCCTTGCTGCTGCTGCAGCACAGCTTGCTGCACTAACACAGAAGCTAATTCTCCGGTGTCTATACACTGCAATGCATCCTCCTCTCTTACACCAGCCTCTGCAGCACATAACTCTGCAGCAGCAGCAGCAGCAGCAGCAGCAACAGCAGCACTTAGACTCAACTGTGGCCAAAATCATAATCACTGACAGCAGCAACTGCAGCACACTGCAGCAGCAGCAGCAAGAGGAGCAGAACACTGCAGCAACAGCAACAGCAGCAGCAGCAGGAGGAGGACGTACCTAGAGCACGCTGCAGCAGTGCTGCTGCTGCTTCGTCATCTTGCTGCTGCATAGCAAGAGCAGCACCATTAAAGGGGACCTCGAAGGTCTCGCTGCTGCTGCAGTTATTCCTTAATGCAGCAGCAACAGCAGCAGCGTAAGATGCCGGTATTGCTGCAACTCTCCTATTACTCTTCTACGCCCTCTTATAACAGCAGCAGCAGCAGCAGCAGAAACAGCAGCAGCAGCAAGACCAGTAGCAACAGTAGCAACAACCGTAGCAACAGCAGCAACACAAGCAGCAGCAGCAGCAGCAGCAGCAACAGCAGCAGCAGCAGCAGCAGCAGCAGCAGGAGCCTCACGGTTTCCTCTGTAGAGTTATTTTCTCTAAGAAGACGATCATAGATCTCCAATGATTCTCTATAACGACCGCAACGATACAGCTGAGCAGCATCAGCAGCAGCAGCAGCAGCAGCAGCAGCAGCAGCAAATGTAGCAACAGCAGCAGCAAATGTAATAGTAGCAGCAACAAATGCAGTAGTAGCAGAAGCAACAGCAGTAGCAGCAGCAGGAACACTGCAACAACAACAACAACAGCAGCAGCAGCAGCAGCAACAGCAGCAGCAGGATAATGCTTACAACTTGTGCATGTAGACGAGTAGCAGCAGCAACATTATATTGATACTGCTGCTGGTGGTGGTGCTGCTGTTGCTGCTGCTGGTGCTGCTGGTGCTGCTGCAGCTGTGCTAGCAGCAGCAATGCCTTGTGTGGTTTATTAACCCTATATAAACAATATGCTTCCTCTAATAATAAGGGAGGAGGAGCAGCAGCAGCAGCAGCAGCAGCAACATCTGCAGCAGCAGCAGACATATTATTTATTTCTTGCTGCTGCTGCTGACGTAACTTCCTTATTGCTGCTCTTGCTTCCTCCCATCTCCCTATCTGTAATGCAGCAAACACTAAAGCCTCCGTCTGCTCAATACTTATTGGCACTGCACACAAACCCTAAACCCTAAACCCTAAACCCTAAACCCTAAACCCTAAACCCTAATCATAATAAAAAATTAATTAACACTTTTTTTTTTTCTTTTTTTTTTTTTCTTACTTAATAAGGAAGATAATACTTATATTGTATATATTATATAT